TCAATATTACGTCGTTAAGAAATACAAACGCATCCCTTTTTCAAATAAAAAATCTTTCATATGAAGCTTCTTACGGCATGATAAGACGTGTAGCTTCAAATACATCGAAAGGGGCTGATTTGGAAAGTGAAACACTTTTTCTAATAGATATTTAGTATTGATATTACTCTTCATGTTTTGGTCTCAACGCAATTTGTGTACATGCTTTCATTCGCGCTGATGCGTTATTACCTCAGTCAATAATTGCCATTTGAAGGGGAATAAAAATAATAAAAATAATAAATAACAACAGCCTAAAAGAACCCGTAACGATCGCTCAAGGGTAATTCACGAGAGAATAATTAAGACTAATTAATAGCATCTGATATTATCCTTTAATTTAGAAAAACATAGAATTCCACATCGAGCGCCTCCACTTCCAGGAGCCGCGCATCGATTAGAAATGACACAGTCACCATATCATAATTTCATGCCATTCCAATAATCGTCGCAAGAAGCGCGATTCCAACGCAACGCCACGACGCGTGCCTGTATACGACCACGTTAACCACCGCCCCCCAGGAAGCGTCCCGCGACGGAAAGTCCGTCCAAACGGCGGACGGTGAAAACTCGAGAATCCCGAAAAATCATGAAACGGGTCAGAAGTAAGGTTAGGAGGTGTGGGGCGCCTCAAAGGACGGGCCGCCATCGGGGATCTAATTTCTGGCCACGCACACGGCGTCCGAGGGGGCGGCGGGGGGCGGCAACGTGGACGTCTACGTGACGCACACCCCACGTGCCTTCTCAACGTGACTCGCGCGAATTATGCAAATGTTCCCGGTACTCGGGGCGCTATAATTTAGCGCCGGACCGGAGGTAAGGACGCCACGGGGTGGCCGCAGGGACGGCCGACGTCCCGGCGACCCGGCGTCTCGGCCGGGTCGTCCGGTCGCCACTTCGGGGTCGCGGAAATCCCTGAACGGTGATTGGCAGGGCCCCGGCTCCTTGGAGGCCGTCATCAGGAACCCGGACGTGACTGCGACGCGCTCACCGACGACCCGGGGGCGAGGCGTCCTCCTATACGATTCGCGACACCCGCGGAATACCCGATATGGCGGCCTGGGGTAATTTCCGAGTGTCGGGGCTGCGTTTCGCGAGAAGCTTCGCGACACACAGGCCATTACCTATCTCGACTTCTCCGGGTCATGCATCGCGGGTCGCGCTTCTCCCGCGGAAGCGGATTCAAGTATTTTCCACGTCGACCGGAGTTCCACTTTCGAGTACCTCCCGTTACCTCGTTGTAACGTATTGGGAAGGTTCTATCTCTACTTATGTCCTTATTGGTGTACGGCTTTAACCCTTTAACCCTTTCGTTACCTTGAACGAGATATCTCGCGACCCGATACTGGCCGATTAACGCTTTTGACGAGATATCTCGCGACTCAATACTGGCCGATTAACGCTTTTGACGAGATATCTCGCGACCCGATACTGGCCGATTAACGCTTTTGACGAGATATCTCGCGACCCGATACTGGCCGATCAACGCTTTTGACGAGATATCTCGCGACCCGGTAGTAGCCGATCATCGCTTTTGACGAGATATCTCGCGACCCGGTAGTAGCGGATTAACGCTTTTGACGATAATCTATCGGATCTATCTATCGGATCGCGAGATGTCTCGTCAAAAGCGTCGATCGGCTAGTATCGGGTCGCGAGATATCTCGTCAAAAGCGTTAATCGGCCAGTATCGGGTCGCGAGATATCTCGTCAAAAGCGTTAATCGGCCAGTATTGGGTCGCGAGATATCTCGTCCAAGGTAACGAAAGGGTTAACCGGGGACGACGAGTTAACTCGTCCACGGGGAATGCTTCTCCAGCGGGCAGGACGAATTAACCCGACAAGGAACTAGGACAATTGCGCATATAATGCGCGTAGAGGACGTTTTCAACGAGCGAGTTCTTCAGTCAAACTTTGCATTGGGAAGGGCTGCGTAAAACGTATTTTATTTGCATTACGTGATCTGTAACAACAAATACGGTAGAATATCGACAGACGTGGTTTTCTAATCTCTTTTAGGGGGGAAATATCTGCGTAGTAGAGTTTTGCTTACAAACTATCTACACTATAATGAAATTTCTTCAGTTTGGCTTGCTAACGTATCGTTTATTCTTTAGGGTTTATTCCCATATGACGATACATGAACGTTACAAAGATACGTGATTTGTTGCCGGACGGCAACATCATGCAACAGGGGGTTAATCAATGAATTCCAGAATCAAGAGTCACGCGTCAGACAAGTTCATAGGCCTCAACCGAGCGCCGCGTCTCGTTACTCTTCGCATCTGCATAATGGACATTTAATATCCGCTAAATAGCTAGAATTCCTACAGAGAGACCTTGTAAATCATACGATCGCTATTACAGCGGTCCAGCTCAAAACTGGGGGAGTAACTTTGTCGACTCCTCCGTGTCTTTTCGGTGTCCCAGATATCCAAACAAATTCACCCTGTACACGTCCCAAGCACGATCGGCGAGTCGATTTGGTAACTAGACGTTCGCTAGGGACGTCGGCAGTCGTTCGTCGGGCTTTAAGGGGTTACACCACTTTGACCCACCCAAAAATTACGGTTTTTCAAGAATTTTTTTTTTAAGAATTAAAACGTTTTTAACCAAATTACAGTACAGTAAGGTATTATACTACTATTAAACAACAAAATATTTTTTTTTGTATTTTTTTTTATTTACAAAAATAGCGGTTTGAAAGGCGATTTACCGGAGCGCTGCGAAAATCGATGATCGTCCGGTGGGCACGATAACTCAGTCCAGGTTTAAGCTAGATCAATGAACGAAAAAGAATTAGTTTCTGTAGCCCAAAAGCTAGCGAAATACGTACCCGTTTTAAAAAATATGCATTTTTCACAAAATGGCATCGATTTGAAAGGAAAGATACGTATTTTGCCCTGAATTTCGTTAATTAATGTTGCATAAAAAACGCGAATATCAATACATTGAAAAAACCATACGTATTTAGCTAGATAAACATATCACGAATAAAATAAAAAAAGAATTAAGACGATTGATTGAAAATTGGCGGAGCTAGAGTGCCCAGCGATTTTTAAAATGCAGTTTTAAAAAAATACGCGTTTAAAGTATAAACGCGTAAAAATTTGTTTGATTTTTTGAAAATTTCAAAGTAGTATAACCCCTTAAAGGGATGTGAAAGTAGCATCTTAGGGGTCAGTAGTTCACGAAACTTTTCTCCGAATTGAATGCACGGAATCGTTTCAATATCACCACGTGAATCGGAAGGCTATAAGGAAGGTCCTGACCCTCATGAAATTTCAAGTTTTATAACAAACATTGAAAATATCCGCAAAAACAAAATGAAACTTCACGGAGGTCAGGACCTTCCTCCTAGCCTCGACATTCGCGTCGTTAAGTCCGAAAGGACTCACCCCCGGGTTAGGGAAAAACCTCGTAAACGAGACCTCTGACGTCACTTTCGCATCACCTTAACGCGAGGGCCCGGAGGTTAATCCCTCGTGACCGAATCACCGGGGCTTGCACCCGCGAGAGGGGATCCGCGTCGCCGGCGGCGGCCGATCCGCGAGAATCGGGCCGATCGGTCGATCACGCCGTTCGGTGCACGCGATCGGCCGATTCTCGGGCGGCGATTCGATTTTCCCCATTACGCGCGGCCCGGCAACGGGGGCATTACCGCGCGTCGTGAATTCGCAATGCAAACAGGGTGCCCGATGACCGGGGCTCGGCGAGGCCGATAATTCCCCGCTAACGCGCGACGCGCCCCGCCGGATCGCGCCCGCCCTGGCGGAGGCGCGGCCGACCCGGCCGCGGCCGCGGTCGCGGCCCGAGTGGTGGTAGCACGTGCGTGCGCGGGGTCTCGGGGTCGTGAGACCGCGGCCGGGCCGGCCGAGCCGAGCCGAGCCGCTCCCGCGGCTATCGGCCGGATTCGCCGCCGCGACCCGAACAGGGGATTAGGCCGCGCGAGCGGTCCGCTCCGCCGCCGCTGGAGGGGCGCCGAGAGGGATTCGCGAGACCGCCTCGCCGGCATCGGGAGAGCAGCCAGCGCCGGCGGCGCGGCAACGCGGAATCCACTGCCGCGCCGGCCCGCGCCCGGCGAGGGGCGCCTAAGAACGCGGCGCCGTAATCCTTCGCGCGCTTCCCGATTGATCGAGCGCCCGGTCGCAACGCGGCTCCGGTTTTCGGGGGCCGGATCGCGGCTTTAAAAGTTCCAAGTAAAAATGGACATGCACCGCTTAATCGTTCCTCATAGGTACTCCGAGTGATTTGTTGCAATTTTGCCGTAATATAAATAAGTACAGCGGTAATCGTCAATTTGACGGGTTTGAAATTTCACTGGCGGAATTACGGAAACCGTTCCTACTCTTCTCCCCAGTAAAATGTTAACGTTACCTGCCTCGAGCGATTGTACATATAATATCGCGCACCTGAATCCATAAGGTAAAATTCAACGATTAAGTTGGTTGCAATTCAACTAAATCGACGTTCGAAGAGGACGCGGGTTTTCGTTCGCCCGTCGATTCGATATACGGACGTTCAAGAAATGTTCGTCAAACCTAGGGTTAGTAGTTGGGACGGATTGGATCTGAATTTCGTGGGTTTCCCGCGAGTCCTTGGATCCCGTTTTCGTCGACACGGGGACGTAGGGGTCCCGGGATCTCGGCACGGTTTCCGCGCCGCGTCCAGGAGGTATCTCCGGAGCCCCCTCGGGCGGGAGTCCCGGCCCTACTCGGGAAGTAGGCGCCCGCGATCGGGTGGCCGGCCGCGGCTTGGCGGTCGGTCGTCGGCTCGGCGAGCCGGCGAGCAGGCGAGCAGGCCGCGACCGGAGGCGGTCCGGCTCGCCCCCCTCCCTGGGAGCGGCTGGCGCGCTTGCGCGGCGCGGCGCCCCCACCCCCGGCGCCGCCGACACGGCAGCCCCCACGGCCCCCACCCGCCGCGCCCCCCGCCCCGCGCCGAGAGCGCAGTGTCGCGTCGAACCTCTCGCAGAGCGCGTCGCACGTCCGAGTACCGGCCGCCGCCCGTCATCAGTCGCCGTACCGCGCAGCCACGTAACTCACCTCTTAGTTTTTAGTAGTCGGTAGTAGGGGAAGTCGCCCGCGTATCTCGTCGCGACTCCGTGAGCGGCCAGGCAGAGGGAGCGAGAGCGAGAGCGAGAGAGAGAGGAAAACACCGAGAGACGGACCGACGGGAGCGAGGGAACGCGAGCCCGAAGGGAGGTAAACACGTTGCGAGCCGAAGAGCGGTCCCAGGATCTTGGGAGCCGACGACGAGCACGAGCCGAGTCGGGACCCACCGCCGCTCCGCCGCCCCCCCTCGCCCCATCGACGGCCTTGAGCTAGCACCGACGAGCAGGAGCCTTGCGCGCGCCTCGCCATGGAGCCCCAGACCCCGGAGATCGTGGCCAGCGGCTCGCCCGCCGAGGTGCCCAACGACCCAGGGTACGCATCGCCGAGGGATCGGTCCGCCCGCGCCACGAGGACCGCAGGAGACGTCCGCATCGCGCGCCGCCGACCGACCACCCCCTCCCGGCCCTCCGCCCCCGCCCCCGCGCACCTGACGGTAGTGCTCGCCCCCGAAGTCGCGCGGAAATCGCCGCCAGGTGGCGCCTCTCTCGCAAGTGATTCCCCGAGTTACCGGGCCGGCCGCGCGCGCCGCTCGCCGGGTCGGCCGGGCCGAGCGCGTGGTGTTCGCGCGCGAGTCGTCCCGGTCGCGGCCGCTCGAATTTGCCGCCGCCGGCTCACGTGACCGCCCCGAGGGTGGCCCGCCAGGGCGCAAGCCCGGGGAGGGGGCGGCGCGGCGCTGCCGCGGGTCCGACGGGTCGATTCGCGGCCGGAAAAAAGTATGGCGATGGCCCGCGGGGAGCTGGCCCTTGTCACGTGGCCGCCCGCCCGGAGCCCCCCCTCCGTCGCGGATGCGTCTTCGCGGGGCACCACGTGACTCGGCCTGGGAGGGGTTAGGCCGCGGACTTCGCGTGGGGAGAGGCGACGGAACCGCGGATGCCGACTTCCCTCCGAACCTGCCTCGGTCATGCCGCCTTGGCGGGAAACGCTCTTCATTTATGGACCCACCCGCGGATGCTTCCACGATCGCGATCATGCCGTAGGTCGCCGACGAAGAGGAGATTCGAGGCGAGGGTGCCGTCTGTCGGGCAACGACCCGATTAGGGGAACGCGAGAGACGCGGACCCGGTTTCTTCAGGGATTCGAATCGGGTCACGTTGGGGTCTTTGGAGTTTCTGTCCTCGGGGGTGCTTCTTGGCCGGGGGTCTTTCGTTTCCTGGGGTGTCGCTCGTGGACGAAGTTGACGCGCCGCGACTGGGAGGTAATCGTTACGCGACCGGCGCCTGGGTTATCAATGTTGGGAAAAGGCGGTCGAGGAGGGGACCGGTCTGCCGTTAGCGCGGGGACGGGGGCGTTCGCCGGTCGATCTAATCTTCTAAGGAGGTTGTTAACAGGACGCTAACCCTGTACAGAGGTCTCGTTTACGTGTACGATGTAAGGTCAGATAGAGGGAATGTGAACTTTCTCCGTACATGCCGGAGCATCGTCTCCACTCGAATCTCGTACGGCGATCTACCCCGGTCTCGTCGAGCGGAGGAAAAGGAGGGCGAGGAAAATCTGCAGAGAATTTTCCCATGGTCTTAGCGAAGCTCTCTGGCTACCGAATCGGGATTTTTAGAAGGTCGAGATCTGGTCTCCCTCGAGGCCACGTGGCTTCTCGAATCGGTCGTCCAGGAGGTACCTCGAGGGGGATTAGGATTCGCCGTCGTGGAAGTATACCCCTTCGCGTTCCGGGCATCGGGAAACGGGAGAATTCGTTGAACGTGCGTCGAGTGGCGGCGGCAAAAGCGGAAACGCCGAGTGCGGAGCCGGCCATTTTGGAGAACGCGTCCCTGCGCCCGAGGAGGCCGCAGGGGATGAAGCGGGGGTCGAGGGTCGAGGTCCGAGGGCCGCGCGTCTGCCGTAAAATTGCGACGGGAGTTGAGTTTGTTGGTTGATGTGTGGTGACACCTACCCCCGAGAGCCGGAGTCCTCTTGCTGCGCGGGGGATGGCCGGAAGTGCCCCCCTCCACGCTTCTGCTTCTTCCGCGCGCTTCCGGCAAGCCGCTCCTCCTCGCCGGGGACGCCGGAACTTGAGACCCGCTGACGGATCGTCTTTCTGTTTCCAGGAAAATGTTCATCGGCGGTCTGTCTTGGCAGACCAGTCCAGGTAAGAGCAAAACTCATTTCTCATTACTCAAACGGCGCGTAAATTGCGCCGTACGTGCGCGATAGCCGCGAAAAATTCCCGGCAAGTTTGCCGGATGCCTCCTGGAGATGCTTTGTTTCGCAGACACCGCGGATACTACCGGACTGCCAATTCGCGAAAAGCCCCCCCGGACGTCCGGATACTTTCCGCTCCGCGGACGGAAACATTCGCGACCGAAAAGCCGGTACTTAGCGTAAGGGAAGTTTTCGATCCGGATGATTGGACGGAGTCTGGACTACCCGTGCACTTGTAGGCCTGCTTGTTCGCGGAAGGCCTGCAGGGATGTCCTGAATTATTTTTTTTTTCTCTTTTCTATCGTACCAACAAAACGATTCCTGGTGCTGGGGTCCGTGCTGTGTAAGCAAAGCTGGAAGTATGAACGAAAACTGGGCGGGTAATTAGTGCACAGTAGGCACGTTACCGCAAGGAGGTTAGGATAGCTGGGAACAATTTTCCAGATATTCCGATTATTTCGCTTCGGAATTGATGGGATTCAATATCGTAATCGTACTTATGTCAGCGTAAGGTAAGTCCGGATCTAAATCCAGAAAGTCTGAATTATGTGTAGGCTTGCTTGGTCGCGGAAGGCCTGCGGAATGTTTTCCAATCTTTTGTTATCATAGGAACGAAATGATTCGCAGTGCCTAGGTCAGCGTTTTGTAAACAGAGCTTGAAATACCAACGGGAACCGTGCGGGAAATTAATGCTTCTTAAGCACGTCGGTACAGTGGACGCGCGCACATTACGATAGTTGTGAACAATTGTCCGGATATTATAAACGTTTCGTTTTAGAATCCGATTCGTGATAGTCACGTTAGGGCAGTGTCGGCGAATTCTGATATCGGAGATTTGTACAAGCCGCAGCGAATTTGAAATTAGCTCAACATGGTTTTAGCGTGTGCAAGGAAATACCGTAATACCGTGTACACTGTATTAAACGGCGAGAAATCTTGTTGGATATAATTCATGCCGGGAAAATGTTATGATATTTAGATGCCGCCTTTGGGAAAATTCCATACTACTGAATATGCTTTGAAAAATAACAAATCTCGCATTCCAGTGAGACTTTAATTATCTCGGATTAGCGAGGCACGTAAGCCGGAATTATTATAAAGCGGGTACGCACTTCCTACCCCATACTGACCTTGCACTCGATATCAGCGCAAGGGAAAAGTTGTAAACGCATGAAACCGAATGCATTTCAAAGAGCATCAACGGTAATTCCCTAAAATACTGTATTGACGTAGAAATCCGGATTTCGGGCAATCAACGAAATATAGTTGGAACGAATCAATCGCATGCATTGACACTTGAACATTTCCCACGATATATCAGTGTTCCATATCGAACAGCTTTCCCCATGGAACATAGAAAATGTCAAAAATGAGAAAATTTCCGATACAGGATGATCTTATAATAGTATAAATCATCGGTATGACACTTAAGGGGACGTGAAAGTGGCATCGAAAAGCTCAATTGTTCATAAAACTTTTATACGAATTGGGTGTCTCAAATCGTTTCATACTTTAAAACGTGAATATGAATACTCTAAGATAGGTCCTTAGACTCGTGAAATTTCATTTTTTATAAACCATATTTTAAAATACCTATAAACAATTTAGAAAAGAACTGAAATTTCATGAGTTTCAGGACCTTCCTTATAGTCTCCCTATTCGCGTTGTAAAATTTCAAACTATTCGGTAAACCGAGTTGGGAGAAAAGATTTATAAACGAAACCTCTTCGACGCCACTTACACATCACCTTAAAGTCACCCTCGATCCCAACAAATGTAACGTTCTCATCCAGGACATATGCACACACAAACGGAATCTAATTAACCTTAGCACCCTTTGGGTGCTAAGTACTTTCGGCGTATGGGCGAATTTCGTCAGGGCGTGCTAGGGATATTCGACCAAACATCGGACGCACATATGCGTCGACAGCACTCAAAGGGTTAAAATGAATCATTGGTAACCCAATATTAATTCTCCATGCATTAGGCAGTTTCACGTACCAAGTCATACCCTTTCTTCACGTGAGACCGCGGAGTCATTCGCGCGCGCCATTGAAAGTACTCGGGTGGATCCGCCTGACGAATGTTAACACGAGCCTTATCTAAGTAGATTGGCGGGCTGGCAGGTTGACAGTTTGACAGGTATCGCGTCACGGTAATCGTAATCCCATCGTAACGCAGTCCAGGCCTTGGACCATGCATTATGTATGTGTGGCGGCATGCCGTGCTCCCGAGGCATTTCGGAGCGCGCGCTCGCTTTATCGCGCGCATTTCTGATATGGTGGAAAGGGAGGGGGGATACGTGGGGATATTGAGGGGAGGGGCACGCGGCGATAGTGAGAATCGATAGCGAGTGCGTAACGAGGTCCCCCCGAAGAGAAAAAGTTTCTTTTCTCGGGTGCGCCTCGGTTATGCAATGGGCCTATCTTTTCGCGCCCGGCGATTAAACGAGGACGCACTGCCGGATACACCATGGATCTATGGAGAAAGGGTTAGAGGACATCGCTACTAGGTCTACCATGGATCTATAAAGAAACGGATGAAGGGTATCGCTCCCGGGCATGCCATGGATCTATGAAGGAACGGATTTCAAATATGACTGCGCGGGTGATGTTCAAGGCGTAAGGGGAATTCTTTAAAGTGACATGAAAGGGTTATTAAGAAACTCAGGATAGTTTTGCGCCAAATATATATATTTAGTTCTTAATGTATCAAAACGTGAAAATATTGATAAAATTTTTCCTCAAATTGTATGCACCGAATCGTTGGATATTTCGCGTTGTGATTATGGAGGCCCTAGGAAAGAACGTGATGGTCATGAGATTTCATTTTTAATACGAAAATTTCATTTATTTATTCCAGGATGGAACCAGGAATATATTTAGTTCTATATGTATCAAAACGTGAAAATATTGATAAAACTTTTCCTCAAACTATATGCACCGAATCGTTGGAAATTTCGCAATGTGATTATGGAGGCCCTAAGAAAGAACGTGATAGTCATGAGATTTCATTTTTAATAAGAAAATTTCATTTATTTATTCCATTTTATACATAGAATGACCCTTTCATGTCGCCTTAAAGAATAGGGGTGGCCATCTTTCGTTGTCAGCGATTTCGTCCGTTTTAACCCTTAATCTATAACTACAGACACGTGGTCTCACAGATTCGGCCTTACACGGCATTCCGGTTTCTCTCCAAGTTCGTACGATTAATTACTATAATACCCCCTTACATTTTATTAATTTTATTTCGTTGCCACACAGCTCGTTGTTAAAGGAAATTGGTTCTTTTCGACCCAATGCCATAATATCACAAATTTGCCGCTGCATCTACAGTCCAGTACTTTATAAATTCTCACGGAGGTAGTTGCAATTAATAAGATTTTGCAAGAAAAAAAAGACGTGATTCTGTTTATTTTCTTTTTTTTTAAAGAAAGAGGTTTACATCTCTTGTATACACGATGTGATGACGCTGGATCCAAGTGACCCAATTTCCGTTTATGGCTTAAACGGATATAAAATCAGTTTGAAGTACACGGTGGGTGTTACCAATATTTGTTATATCGTTAATAACAATATACAACGCAATGTCACGATCTTTGGATCTTTTAGCACGCGCTTTTTCGTACTTAAAAAGCGCCGTACGTAGTGTTGGTTGCCTCCATTCATGAACACGATACTGCGGGTGTAGCAACGTAAGATGGCCGCTGCGTCTCCTCTCGTCCCGTCTCGAGGTTTTTCGTTTATGGGTTAAACTGATATAAAATCAGTTTGAAGTACACGGTGGGTGTTACCAATATTAACGCAATGTCACGATCTTTGGATCTTTTAGCACGCGCTTTTTCGTACTTAAAAAGCGCCGTACGTAGTGTTGGTTGCCTCCATTCATGAATACGAAACTGCGGGTGTAGCAACGTAAGATGGCCGCTGCATCTCCTCTCCTCCCGTCTCCAGGTTCACTCCCCTCGTCTGGAATTGCACTTTATGCTCCATCCGTTTCTTCATAGATCCACGGGGCATAATGTGGAGCCGCGAGAGGCGATGTGCACGGTATCGCCAGACTTTCTGCCTATCGGTGCAGCTGCCGCTTAACTCCGTCGCTGCACTCCTATCGGCCCGTTTGGCGGCACGCACTGAGAGAAATACTCCGGTCGCACCCGTCTGGACCGGAAAATGCACTCGTGTACGAGATTTTATGTATGCTGGGAGCCAGATGTGTTAAGAGAGCGAACGTGATTTGGTTTCGCTGATTTAGACTTCGTTTTGGTCGTGGGAAGTGGTAAATGCAATTTTAGATAAGCTTTCGGGAAAGGCGTCGGATTGATTTAGAGAACCAGGAGTGGATACCTTGATTCGTATCTCGGACCAAAGTGTCCTGATTAGGTGATTTATACAAAATTCAGCGATTTTAGAAGAGCTTTCGAGACAACAAATAGCAAGTTGGTGTTTTTGATATTGGTAATGATTTCGCTGATATCTTACCATTTCAGTTAAATTGTTTGAACAACTATTGTTGTTCGGTAGCTGGAATTGAATTTTTATTATGCTCACGTATTGTTATTATTATGTTATCTTACGCGGCCTTTGGTTTTTAATTTCCACATTGGATGATTTTTGCTCTAATTTTATCATTTGAGGCGACAGTAGTAACTTTCTCTAAAAAGATTTGGGCATTCTGCCTTAGAATGATCGAATTGAAGAATTTTGTTAATATAGGAGTGTATATCTGTATACTGCTTGCTGCAAAATTGCGCATGTCTGATAACTACATGCACTATTTATTGTAATTAAAGGAGATTACGGCTATATCTCGTCAACTAAAAATATTTTTTAATTAAAATTTAATCCTTGTCTCTCTACATTATCCTAAATAATATCTGTTAGTTTCCGATTTGCGTTTGTTTTAGATATGGCGATAATTTTTTACGATTTATAGAAGGAAGAA